AAATTATTTTATTAATATATTATGATGTATTTATATTAAGAAAATTCTCAATTAAAGGTTTCAATTGTAGAATTTTTTATGCTTAATTAATATTAAACCTTTAGTTTTATCATCATGATAATATAGCATTTAAATTAGTTTCTTGCTCTTGTATATTCCATATCTTAGTTCTATTAACAATATCATTATCAATCAATCATATGATTAGCAGCACGTGATCTTTACTAATAACGATAATGAATTTTTTTTTATAATGGCATCCATTTTTAATTTATCCATTTAACCCCTTTTTTTGTTTCGGGTTTCGGATATCCACCCAATTGTTGTGGGTAATGCACTTTTCGGGAATAGAAATCCAAAATCAAGGTTTTCGCATTTATTTGTATTGTTTTTCATTGAAAAAAAATAAAAAGATTTTAATCTATCACAGAATAAATGGTCAAAAAAGCAATAAAAGATTATATAATTTATACTTTTATGAGCATTGCGAGTTTGATATAATAGAATATGTAATCGCTATATCATCAACATTTTATTTATGCGCGGCAATTTCGCGAGAGAAAAAAAAAATTACAAAATTTTTTTTTTTGGGGATTCTAACCTGCTTAAACCATTATACCGTATATATTTTTCATTACATCTAATTGATATTCAGTTTATCGATTGATTATGTTTAATGGTTTGACAAATAATCATATTTGTCATGTTTTCTTTCCGGAAATAGTTAATAACATATTATGGTAAACGTCAATCAAAGCCACATAAAATCTTCCTGAACGTGATCGCTTTGAAATATTTAATTGGTTAATTCAAATAACAATTACTGTGCGATGCAAGTTCGTTGAAATTCTGAATTTAAAAAAGATCATCTTTCTCACGAATGATATAAAACCAATTTTTTACGATTAAATTTTCTCTTGACATACGTTCATAATATTAAAATTCTCTTGAAATAAAAATTCTTCATGTCATTCCACAATACAAACTCTAAAATTCTTTCTTATTTATTAAACGCATTATATGAAGTGTATTATTTCATATATAAAAGAAACATAAACTATGGTTATTTAAATCAAATGATTAATATCACAAATAGTAAGTTCAACCATCCAGTAATTTAGTAACTATATATTAACGTTAAATAAACTTTTTCTATTTTTTTTTTTTTTTTTTTTTTTAGAAATTTCTTTATAATTATATGAAGAATTTATGGTTAAAAACTCTGTTTATTGAATGTTGCAAAATTCTATAGAGGTTAAAAATTGTTCAATATAAATTTAATTATTAAAGTATTGTTTATAGTTGCAACAACTGCGTTGCAAAATTCTATAAACAGAAGAAAATTTTAATAATTTAGAACTTAATAATTTTTTTGTAATTTGTATAAATAATTTCGTTATTTTTAATAATTTAGAACTTAATATTTTTTTTTAATTTGAAAAATTGTATAAATAATTTGGTTAGATTATAAAATAAAAATAAAAATCGTTACAAAATTCTAAAAATAAAATCGTTTTCAAAATTCTATAAACAAAGAAATGGTTTACTAGCGTCATATAACATGATTTATAAATCATTATTATTAAGAAATATTTGGATTTGTTTGTTATATAATATTACAATAAATGATGGCGGCGAATACAAGATTTCCCTCCAAAAACTTTGGTAATTATCATTTACTATACGTCATATGTGCGCCACAATTAATTCCAGCCAAATGTCGTGATGCCGGCCATTTCGGAATACAACGACTACGCCAATTTATGTGAAAATTGCCTACTAATAATTTATTATAAATTTGATTCGGCATTGTATTCCACGAATGTTGACTTATTATATTGGCTGATCATCTAAAGACTTTTGCATGAGACTCAAATTGAATGTTCCAATGAAAATTCTTTACCAAAATAACTGAGTGATCACCTCTTTGTAAATCTTAGAATTAATAAAATTATAATAGTACCACATTGTTAAAAAAAAAAAAAAAAAAACTTGTAAATCTTAGATAGTACGTAATGTAAATAGCTGAAAAGATTTCCACAAAAGACAAGTACTTAAAATTAAAGCACGATGATAATAAACGTGTAATATTTATTATTGATAAACAAAAAATAATAGTACGACTAAGTACTAAATTAACTAATATTTTTACTACTAAAAGTATAGTATATAAACTAGGAAATGGGAACCATTATAAGTCCCGAGCTCAATAATCGCAAAAGAGGAGAAACACACGCGACCGAAAATTTCACATTCCGTAGACTTATATTGTCCTTTCGCTTCGCTCAGGACAAATAAAGAAGTTAAATTAAGTATCTTGATATTCTGTGCTTATAAAATGAAGACCAATGATTCTTATTAAGAATACCAAAAAAAACTAGTGCAAACGTTATTAAGGGAGTAAAAAAGACTTCCACAGGTTTAAAATAAAGGCATCATTTTCGAAATATTCATTGCGGGTTGAAAATTAGCGTTAGGAATTAACGTTGGTAAAAGAGGACGAGGTGAGACAATGGTAGTAGTAGTAGTACCAACAGGGATTAAATGAGAGATATTTGGTAAGACGATATTGGTAGTAATACCAGATTGTTGGTCATCTTGAGGAGGACCAAAGTCAATGATACTTGTGCCAGGAATTTCGGGTTTTTTGACACGATTTTTTAAAAGTCTTTGATATGTAGTCCACACTCCTTGAATCCTATTGATAGCGCGGACCTTATGGAATTTTTTTTCCAATAACTTTTGGCAGTTTGACCATTTAATTTTTTCGGACGTTTTGGAATTTCTTTTAACCCATTGATAAATGCACCTCTTTTCTTCCTTCGTGAAAGGGCCATTCGTAACTGATAAAGAAGAAAAAATATATTTTTATGTTCTAGTTTTATTTTTTTTTTAAAAAAAAAAAAAAAAAGGAGCAATCCAAGACATAAATTTTACGTACTGCGAGGGTGAAGTTTATAATTCCACCTAAAATTTATGATTAGAAGAAAGATAAAGTCATGAATAAATGTGAAAAAACATTTTCTAGCTATAAATTGTTGATAACTTACCGATGACTTATTTGCTCAGCAGTGAATTTAGGAATACGGTGGCTCAATTCCAAGTACGGATTTCTAATATTTCTCCCTTCACCTTGCATGAATTCCTTAATTAGAAAATCAGTCTGTATAATGAGAAAATAAGTGTTAAATATATCTAATTTTTTTCTTACTAATAAAAATAAAGATCACCTACTTTTAAATCAAAAATAGACATGATTGCGATATGTATATTAAGTATATTGGTGTTCCTTTTAATTTTAATTTTTTTTTTTTTTTTTTTTTTTTTGAAAAGAAGTCGTAAAAACCGTTGTGTTTTATATTTAAAAATTATATTATTAAAATAAATTCGTCAAAACTGAAATACTAAAATTAATTTAATCGGATTTTAATATTTTTTTTAATTAATTTAAATTTTCTTTTTTATTAAAACTGGTTTATAAGAATTCAAAATCTTTTTGTAGATTGCTTGTATAAAAATAAATTTTTTTTTTCTTCATTAAGAGATATTTGTGTTTGTGTCATCTTAAAGAAAAATTTTTTATTTTTATTACTTGCATTAGTGCCTTTGTCTAATAAACCTATTTTCTGCTCATAAAGTTATGGATTTTTTAATTAATTTATTTTTATTTTTAATTTTATTTTTATGCCGATCATACCTCAATTTATAACATTTGGCTGAACCCAAAATCAAGAAAAATTAGACTTTTTGAAATACTGTATATCGCAAATAAATGGGTCAACGCGTTCAATTCGAATATTGTAGATATGTACAATATATAATTATTTATTTTAGATTTTTTTTGATATTATTTAAGAAGTCTCATCATATATGGACAAGGCTTTTTATTTTTACCAAATCAAGTAACAATTATACACCAATTGGAAAATTTAGCTTTTATGAAGGTCGCCACTTTACCTTTTTTTATTATATTGCTTTTTAATCTAAATTTCTTATTTTGAATTCCTTTTACTTTTTAGGGTTAAATTATTTTAAGGTTCATTGGGCTTTTCTGTTTCAGGTTTTATGATATCGATACTTGGAATATAATAAATATCAATCTGATCCTTTGAGTTCTCTCCTTTGTAGAACGTCTCTTGATTAAAAATAAGCAAGGTCCCGCATCTTATGAAACAGCCGTTTCATACATTTGTCATTATTGGTCGAGCGCTTTTTAAAGAATTTCCCCCAATGAAAAGGAAATGTAAGAACGCCAACGTTATAAACACAAATAATGAAACAATAAACAAAAACAGTTTATTAAAGAATCTATACCTCATTAGGTTGATATCGAACGTAGTTTTACGGAATTTTGAAATGAAATTCGTTTTTTTAAGGTCTTGACGTAAGCTATGTTTCCATGTTGTGTCATATTAAAACACCCCCTTCATAAATAAATGATTCATCATCGTCAATCATTTTCCATCATTTTACAATGAGAAACGTTTTATAATTAAATATTATTATGATTACGATTATTTTCCCTACTCCCCGTTATATAATAAAGTTGAAAATTGAAATAAATTTAATACATTAAATATACTATATATTATATAATATTTGTGAGAGGGTGACATTGGGAAAATCAAATTTTTAAATGAAGTACAAATAAAGCATAGCTTGAAATCTAGACAAGATGATAAGCTTCTACATTTTTGGGTGCTATAGAAAATTTTGAGTAACCATAGAAACAGAATTCGTCATCAAATCAATTTTTTGAATGGTAAATCAAAGTAATCCAAGTGTCACATATCACAAGTGTTACATGTATTAATTCTATGATATTCGCCGCAGTGTGAGGTCATCAGAGGCGCGACTAACAGTTGCAAGCAAGCACAAACAAATAAATAAGGAATATTTGAAAATGAAATTAATTAATGCAAATTTATATCCATTTCTTATTATATATTGAATTTAATATTAAAACCATTATTCATTATCAAAAGAAATACATGATAAAATAAAAGAGATAAAAATATATATGATAAAATAAAGGAGATGAAAATTTATGTGATAAAATAAAAGCGAAACCTTTCTTGAAAACAAACATATTGAAAATATTTTTACAAATTTTACTATTTAAGTGATTCTAAATTTGAAAGTATCTGCAATCATTTTCAGCTTAAATATAGAATTTTATGGTAAATACATTTATCAAAAATTTCTTTTTTAATAGCGTATCGAACCTTAAAGTAAATTTTAAATGCATCCATAAGAACTTTTGGTAAGTTATATACCTTTATTATAAAAGTAAAACAAGAAAGATTACAATAATCTTACATGTCATTTTTTATTCTTGAAAAAAGATTGGATTGTTACTTTTTTTTGGAACTTTTAGTAGAGCTTCTCATTTTACGAGGCGTAGTCATAGAAGGTTTGTTTCTTTTTCTTCTTCTACTTATCAGAAGGGGTTCATAAAGTTTAATATTATTTGCTCGCGCATAGGCTCTTGTTATTCTATGTGTAACAATGCCTGTTGCTTTCATATTTGATAAAAATAAATTTGTTATTGAGGAGTTAAAGCCGACTTACATCTCATTACAAATTTCACATTGTATTTAGATTTATATTAAAAATTCCAAATTGTGTTTCAACAATTCAAATTCATTTTTAATAATATATCATAAAAAATAATATTTATCAAAGAATAAAGTACTAGGTATTATATTTGTCTAAATAAAGCATTTGAATTGTTATCATATTGATGTTGATGGTTAGATAATCAGTGTTCTATTTTTATAATTCGTTTGTGTTAAAAATTATTTCTTAAATTACTTCTAAAAGAGCTCCAGACTCACAAAGGTTCCCGTCACCTAGTTTAGTTAATTATTATGGTAGCATTTTCTGGGAGTTAATATCATAGCGACCAGATCATTGAATTTCAGGAATATTGACATTTTTTTGCAAAGAGGCAATATATTCTTTCAGCTGGAAATTTTCTATGCATATCATAAAATCTAAACTCCAAAAAATGCAAATAAATCCCTTCACAACATTACCGAAATTAATCGAGTTCGTTTGATACAAAATAGAATCAGAGAACCAGGGGCGAGTAATCATTTTTTTTAGGGGGAACGACATGGAATTATTTTGTTTTCTTACGTCAATATCTCAAGAAGAAGTATCTTCAACTAAAAAAATTCTACAAAGTAAATATGAATACATCAGAAAGTTGATTTAGAAAAAAAAATTTGTTTCGTTTCCACCCATTACGATTAACTAACAGAAAAAACTATCACAACCAACGAAATGTTACCAATGAATACGATGGGCATGAAAATGACGAAAAGCTCAATTTGATCGCTGGATCAATTGCAATTGAACCAAATTTGGTGAGGAAATAAGATTCAACGAGATTCTTGAACTTGTGTGATTCGCACGTGCTGGGAATTTACTTAAGTATCTAGTTAAAAAAAAGTTTTATTCATTTTTAATCATCATAAATATTTATTTCATATTTTTATTTATTTGATTTTTTTTTTTTTTTGATAATGCATACCATAAAAAAAAATTATGTTATATGAATCATTGCTAGGCGCTATTAAAACTCAAATCTTAGAATTTTATTTTAATTTTACAAGATCAAAAATGTTTTGATTGCTTTTCATACCTTCACAAACGATTGCATTAAACGTTTGATTCATCTCATCTACTAAAGTTCATTTGTTATCTGAGAAATAAACCAGTAACACCAGTAAGGACACCGAATAATTTATTCGTGTCATGCGCTTTTGCTTTTCTTTTAATTTCACTTTTATCTATTTTGGTATAAAGAACTCCAAATTTATCATGAGTTTCTGCTAGGGATGCTAATGGTCACGGTCATGACCGACCGGTCAACCGATCATAACCGTGCCCGATATCAGTCGGTCAAAGGTTTCTGCCCGACCGGTTGACCGACTGACTTGAGACTGAATAACCATGTTTTAAATAGTAAAAACACTTTGTATTAAAATTAACAAACTCAACATTTTATTTTAATTAAATATAATTTAAAAATTTTGAAAAAAAAAAAATAATTAAAGTTCGCGATGATGCTGCGCCACTAAATAAAATGACAAAGTAGCTTTAAAAAAATGCCATACTAGAATTTTTAAAGCAAGAATCAAAATTATAATATTTGACTAAATTAAAACTGCTCAATTATATTACTATTAACCGGTCGGTCAGTTAAATTCGGTCAGTTAACCGGTCGACCACGACCGACCGTTACCATCCCTAGTTTCTGCTATTCATATAATTGTCTACTCATAAAATGAATAGAATATGAAATGCGACGAATTTTAGAAAATCCATGCGTAAAAATCCATACTGCTGTATACCCGAACAGGTTAAGATTCACCTATATTACATAACAAAAAAAAGGTATGGACAGCTATACGTGACCATACATCAATAGAACTCACAAATATGACAGTTGCATTTCCTTCTATAGGAACAAAATAACTGAATCCTCATATTAATCTCTACGACCTTATACATTTAAAGTATTTAAATAATGTTCGTAATATTAACATTTGATAGTTTAACAATTTTTTTTTTTAATTGGCGACGACCGATTTGTATATTCGTTACTTTTTTATAACATTAAATCATTTAAAAAATTTAATAAAAAAAAATTAAATCTTAAATTTTTGTTTGCCTCTATTAAATAAAAAATTAATCCATCATGAAAAAGGCCATTCCTTTCAAAAAAAAAAAAAAAAAAAAAAAATTTTTTTAGTTTCCATTCTTGGCCGGCGAATTCGACGGTGGGAAAAGACCCTTGCGTCTCACATATTTTTTTTTTATTCTGTTTGCAATTGTTGTTGCATACAGGAATAAGAAATATTTGAAAAAGAAATTCGTTGTGTGTATTCTTATGATTTACCGAATTCATGATAATTTTAACGCGTAAAGATGAACGAATAATTGATTAAAAGATTGATCGTTAAAGAGCTCATTTGAACTATTGATTTCTCCTTTTATAAAAACTGAATTAGAAAATCAGAAGTATACAGCACACATTTTATGATAATGTTTCCAATTTTTTTTAAAAAAAGATACGCCAACATATAGATGTTCAGTTTAATAATTTTTTTTTTTTTTTTTTTTAAACAAAAAATATATATACAGAACATAATAACGTTAATAAATAAATATTATACAAAAAAGTTCGATATAAGAAAAACAAAGTATATTTAGGATTTGATAAAATAAAATTTGATCAATTTGATTTATTGAGTTCGTAAACCATGTCAGTTTGTAATATACCTTTTATGGAGGAGCCCCTTATCAAACTTAAAAATAAATTCATAATAGATATTTGCCATAATTGGGTGCTTGTATCAAATTTTTGATGGCAAGATTATAATTGGCAATCATATTTCCATTATTTGCAGCCTTCTCATACAAAAAAATTGCCAATTTCGAATCTTCTTTCGACTCCTATACTATACTCATCCAAGTATCAATATTTAACTGTCCCGCCGCAAGTTCCTTATTGGCGACCTTTACAAAATAACTAAATGCTAATCTTGATTATTGATCGTTCTATATCCATTTTGATAACATATTCCAACATAATATAACGCCAAGATATGATTCTTTTTTGATGCATCAGTGAATAATTCGAACGCTCTTCACTCGTTTCTATTCCAAAATAATTAAAATATTCAGTAAAAAATCATAGTTGAATTGTTCTGATTTTTTAATAACCAATTATAGATTTCTTTCAGAGCAATATTGTAAATGATATATAATCAATAAGATGTAACCTCCTGATTTTGGTTCCTTTTCCATCATTTGTCATCTTAAAATAAGAGTTACTATCATGTTTAGCTCGTTCCCAGGCTTGTATTGAATATCTATGACAAAATCATGATTTCTTTCATCCTTGCAACTACTTGATTTATCGTTGGTCGATTTTCCGATTGCCATTCCAACAATCTAAAAAGCAACGTAATCGATTCATTGAATAATTTATAGTGCTATTTTGTTTAAACAAATTTCAGTTAATCATAAAAATCTTTTCATCGAGTCATTTTAAAATACAGTATGTAGCGATATATTTACCAGATCTCGGTTGACGATAACTTCCTCGTGTAAACAAGAGATAGCACCAGCTAATTGATATGCAAAGTTCCAAGCTTCTTGAAATTTTCTTCAGGTAATTACAAAGGTTACCGCCATCAGCATATTTCATCATTAGAAAATATTTCTTTTTATCTAAAGATAAATGTGTACATTTCATTTAAAACGCGCGAATTACGTATTTTACAACTCGAATAAATAGATAACCTTGTAATGATTTGTAACTTGTTTAAAAGTGAAGATACGAATGTAGTAGTTTTTTTTATTATATTTCATGTTCCTAATGTGGTGTAACTAATAAAATAGTGTAACAACCTCTGACTATATTTTAATAACCAATAACATTAATCAATGAACTCAAATTCAGGGGTTTTGGCATTTGCGGTTAAACTCTTTTGCTATTTCCGTATATTCCCTTAATCTTCTCAATTAATTTAAAAAAAAAAAATTTTGCTTTGATATTATATATTTAAGAAAGCAATAAACTCACGAACCATATATCGTTTATTAAAGTTCATCTTATAGTATTAGTATTTAACTAAGAAGAAACTGACGTGGGAATTATAGTTCTCCGCTTGGCCTGCTTTTCTTTATATCCTTTCACGTACTTCTTTGAACAAAACCGCGAAATAAATTCCACACCCCCAATACTAGAAAAAATTCGAGATGAGATACCAGGAAACTTCTGTCTCGTGTACATCTCAAATGAACAAGTCAGGCGCTGTTGTCGTAGTGGTCGGAAATGGGACTGACTCCCCCGTGGTAGATCTTTGGCAAAAGAGGATGTACGAATTCATTAGATCAGAAGGATTCACGAAGAAGACGCAACGGGACAATTCCAAGTCCCAAAACGCGTTCATGATATATCGAAAAGATCTAAGCGCGAACGCACCTGGGGGTGAACTTTCCGGACTTGCCGGAAACATCAATCTCAAAGCGTGTTACAATTCTTGAGGTGGATGTAATCTACTATTCCCCCCGATCATAAATGTGAAGGATTGCTTAAACATTCCAGCATCACGATCCATGCGCGTAGAATATTGCTTCAGTCATATGATCCAATAGATTAATTAATAATAAAACGAAATTATTTTAACATAAAAAAATTTTAATCTGCGTTATTTGTAACTTTCGATCATGTATCAAACTGCCAACAATACTTCGTAATACTTACAAAGCTTCTTTACAAGTCTACTTCGACGTTTCACTGAAGAATTATTAAATCAGGTAGAAACTGAAAGGAGGGAAAGATGAATATCTACCAAAATAAATCGCTAGACGATATTTAAAAGAAAATAAGTTGAAGCTGTATACTCATAAACTAGTGATTTTCTGCTGGACGATAAGTTCATTTATAAGCAATCTCAATATTATCCACGAACCTAAATGATTATAAAAAGGTGTTAGTAATGTTACAATAGATGGTTGCTGATCACTAATTATCCTTAGACCGTCAATGGACACCAGAATGTAGAGAACAGGCTTTATTCTAATCTGGAAAGGTAAGAAGTGCATCAAAGAAGTTTCAATTATAAAGTTTTAGTCGTAAATTTTTCAACGTTTTGTACGTTTCCATTGATACAGGGATGCAAAGACGCGAAAAATATTAACCATAATTGTATTACTTAAATAAAAAATTTTCTTTGATTTGATTGGCCCTAGTCTAATAATAAAAAAAATTTTTTTTTGTAGGTTCCATTTTCAAAATTTAAAAAAATTTTAGATGAAAGCATTTTCGGCTTTTGAAATTTATTTATTTATTCAAATAGTGATCATATTTATTATGTCAATTCTTAAATACAAAAATAACTAATTTCTGAGTTTAAATATTACTTTAATCCTCCCGCTTTTACGTTTTTTTTAATAACCCATCGTCTAAATGCAAAGGTTCACATACCTTAAAAGTTCGAGACACAACACACTCAAATAACAAGCTTACCAACATTACCAGGCTCTTTAATAAAACTGTATAGCTTCGAAACTCAAATAACAAGCTTACCAACATTACCAAACTCCTTAACGGATCTCCGTTGCTATCATTATGACACCTACGATAGTTTTTTGCTATTTTAGCAAATTTTACCCGTTCTATGGTAAAAAGCGTTTGGCGTTTTAGGGTTTGTGACATTGACAGAATTATCAGTAAATTAATTCTTGTAATTTCCAATTTTTTACCAATTTTTTTTAGCAATGGAAGACTTAAAAAAAAGGTCTACAAATTATTTTTTGTACCCTTTATGCACTTTATTGTTTCTTGCAGGTTAGATAATAATTAATTGGATAATTGAAAAGTTGTATTTGTTAATTCATTGATTTTAATAAATCATTTCTATTTTTTTATAAAAAAAAAAAAAAAATTTTTTCTATTTAATACAAAAAGTATTTATTATAGACATCGAAAAAGAAACTGATATCTATTAAAAGAGAAATTAAAAAAGAAAAAAAAGTTGAAGAAATTTAGGTAAGCATTACAAATTATTTATTATAATATAAATATCAATTATATCTAAATATTTCTTTAAATTTTAATAGATGAAAAAAATTTAAGTGAGAAAACTCAGAAGATAATATTTTGATAAATAGTTTCGGTTTTTGTCATATGGAAGGGTTTTGTTATATCCTTTGTTATGATTTTTAATATAGTTTTATCTGAGTTTAGATTTTTATTCGAAGCCTTGTCCCTTATCTATATATTATACATATATTTATAAAAGTTATCAAATTATTCATTATATAATTTATAGATTCTCCGTATTGGATGGTTGAACTTATTCTAAATTAATTTGGGTAATTTAGTCTAGAACGATATAAGGTTGATTTTGATTTAGTTAAATTGATTAGACAGAAATTTTGTACTCTCTCTTTTGTAATTTGTAACTTTGTAAAATTTTACTTTACTTCTAATAAAGATTGTACAAAGTATCACATGTTTTAAAAAAAAAAAATTCATTAAAAAATTAAGTTAAAAAGTTATATTATATCTTTTTAAAAGATTATATATTATCAATCCTTTCTACAATCACCCTTTATATTCTTTTTAAATATATTATATTTTGTTTCTGAATTTTTTAATATAAAATATTCCTTTATAATCACATATTAACTATAATCACTATTATACTAATTATTAGATTAATATATTAGTCAATATAAATAATTTTCCTTTATATAGTTACTATATATTATCATATAATAAATCAGTCAATTATTATAATAAATCCTATAAAATTACTTTATTTTAAAATAAACTTTATTAAAAAAATTTAAATTTTCATAAAATTAAAAATAGTTAATAATTTTACTTAATTCAGTTTAATCTAATCTTAATCTTATATTTAAAAAAAAAGAAAAATATTAATAATTTAAAAATATTAAAAAAATGAAAAATAAATAAAAGAAAAAATGCAATAATAACCTAAATACAAAACTAAAAGAAATTTAAAAAAAAAAGAAAATATTAATATAATTATATTAAATTGATTAGAGATTTATTACATAATTACAAAATCTGATTTTTTGTATAAATACATCCATATTTTTAGGTGATTCTAAAAGATGCAAATTATAAAGAAGCTAACTATATTATTAATAAGAAGATTAAGTATTTAAAATATTTTTAATAGAAAAAGTATATTAAAAAATTTTATTAATAATAAAAAAGAAATATATTTATAATTTAATATATTAAATATCAATTATAAAAATAGAAAACTTTATTATTATTTATATAGTAGTAAATAAGATTGCTTGTCTAAACCTATTTTGAATTTGACAAAATGTTTAAACTATAGTTTTGCTAATTTTTTACTAAAGTTTTGATATAGTTTCACATTTTTATAAGCTTTGATATAATTTTACTTTTTCTAAAATTTTGCAGATTTTTTAATAAGATTTTAATATAATTTCGTTAAATTTTACCTTTTTTATTTAGACGACTTGCAAAATCTCTAGATTTCATCTAGCAACTTTAGTAATAAATAAAAGAAACATAACCATTATTGATTACCTTTAAAAACTTATAATAGATTAACTATTAGAGCTAAAATTATAATTTTATATTTATTTTAAAACCTAAATCTTAAAAAATAATCTGATATAAATTTAATATTTAGTTAATTATATTAAGTTTTATATAATTTAATTAATATTAGAATTTTTTATTTAATAAACTTTGAGTATAGAAAAAATTTTATAGGTTCACTACTATAAATCTGGTATTAGATTTAGATTTTCTGCAGTGTAATGATTTTAATAAGCTAAATTTGTTAAAATTGAGCTAACTAATCAAAAATTATTACGTAGCAAAAATTGATATTTTATTATATAAAATTATTTTTTTTTAACAATATAATACTGCAAATAATTTTATTAAATTTATACAAAATACAAAGTAATTTTAAAAATCTATATACAAATACTAGCTACCTCTGTAGTTATATTTCAAATCTATTTGAATTGATCTCTTATCATCCTTCCTCTCTAATAAACTCATTAAATATGTATCTAATAACTATTGTTATTAATAAAAAGAAATATGTGATCTTTGCAATAGAAAAGAGGAAACAGCCAAAAAAATAAAAAATAAGTTAATGCTAAATTTAAATATATTTTAATCTAAAAATCATATTTGAACATATGAAAGTAAAATAGAATTTTTCTGACTATTTTTATCTTTTCTATTGCAAAGATCCTATATTATATAAAATTTGCTAAACCTATTTATATAATATAATATCAATCTTTATTATGCAATAATTTCTGATTGGTTAGTATGATTTTGATAAAATTTAGCTTGTTAGAATCATTGCATTACAAAGAATCTGAATCTAGCATCAGTTTATAATAACAAACTTATAAAAGATTTTCTATATACTCAAAGTTTATTAAGTAAAAAATTCTGATGTAAATCATTAAATTACACAAATTTGATATGATTAACTGATATTAAATTTATATCAGGTTATTCTTCAAAATTTAAACTTTAAAATAAATATAAAATTATAATTTTAGCCTTTATAGTTAACTTATTATAAGCTTTTAAAGATAACTAATAGTAATTGTGTTTTTTTTGTTTACCACTATATCACTAATAAGAAGATTAAATTAAAAAATATTTTTAATAAAAAAATATACTAAGAAAAATTTATTAATGATAAAAGAAATATTATATTTACAATTTAATATAAATAAATATCAAATTTTTAAATAAAAAACTAAGATTTTTTTTTTTAATAAATATAATTTTAACTCTTTAATTAAAGTTAAAAAAAATTAATTTTCAAATTCAATTAATCCTATTTTTTATAATTAAAATAAATAGTTTTAAATCTACTAAATAATTTTATTTAAATTATTAAATATAATTAATTTTATAAATTTTATCTAAAGTTATTAAATAAAAAAAATAAATTTATAAGTTAAACTTATTATATAAAGCATTATTTACTTAAATATTTAATTTAATAAAGAGATTAAATTATAAATTTTTTTATTTAATAATTTTAAAATATAGTCAACTCTTGTTATAACAAACTCTATATCTTAGACCTCAACTTCGTTATAAGACTATAGTAAAGATTTTAAGAGATTTGATTGGCCAATTTACTATAACAAGAATATTTTTATTATATTTATTCAAAAAATTCGTTATATCAAGAGTTCGCTATATCAAGAGTTGATTGTAATAATT